ACATGCATGAAGCCACGTACGTTCTGCGCACGCAAGTACGTAGTGCAAAGTACTCTATGACTGCACAAAGCTTTTGCACCGAAGGCACGCAAACAATGATGAAGAGAAAATCCGACCAGATTACCAACGTTAATACAAAGTACACATACCTTTAAAGGCTACTTTGAATATCTTCAGAAATTCTTTACCCCCTGCTAATGGCTCTGCGTGATAAACATCATCAGATAAACATCATCAGACAGACACTAGCACAATGGCAAAGAGCCGGAACTGTGCACCAACTCGAACGCACGATCACGGCTTTTCATAGGAACCATAGCATCCAGTACGAAACACATCAATGCACTTCAAACAAAGTTTCAGCACGAATCAAACTACAAGTATGTTGGCCTAGTACTATTCGCATGGCAACATAAGCGTCACAAAATCCAGGAGGGAGAGACTCTGAGGCCACGTATCCATGGTATCTGCACACACCATCGCCATACGCCAAACATTTGCCAGTTCCGACAATCCCCAAGGAACTTTGCACCTATCACCAAAGCTTGAGATAACCTGTAGAAAATAGACCCTATCGACCGTATTCCATCGGACACGTCCCACTCAGCAGGATTCCCAAATGTAATGCCAAACTAAATGATGTGCATGGACTCAGTCTCAGAAACAGAGAGGGTAGTTGCCTCCTGCAGTAGGCGAACGCTTGCCCCTGGGCGCGACGCGGTTATGGACGAGGTTTCATCATTGCAGTCGCCAGACAAAGAGTCACCCATAACTCAATTAGACTGCCAGCGGTGTCGCTCTCAATCTTCAGGTGCTTGTTGTAGAGGGTTTGCGCTTCTCACCAACGCTGCATCTTCAAGAAGTGTAATGTTGCGGTAGGTGTCTGCAGGCAATACGCTTTTACCGTTTGCTGTCGCCAAATCTCTCAGAAACAGGGTCTTCGAAGCACACACCAGGAATTCCAAGAGCGACGCAACCCCACAGGCACACCGTTCGTTCTAGTGCTGCCCTTCATGCAGCAGCCACCACTCTCCATGACATTTCGCATCTCGTGCAGCCGACAGCTCCAGCCTCTTCTGAAAACTCAGACGCTAAACGACGCCCTACGTTTCTCACGTTGGTCCTCAAACATCGCCGCTAGATACCCCTAAGACATACTCTCTGCTCGCCACAATTAATGGCGAGGGCGGGACAAGAATCAATCCGGTTCAGATCATCACAAGAACCAGCGCGGGAATACTCGACATTTTCGATACAATGCAAGCTCTCGTTGATTTGCATGGAAGTAGCTCAGTTGTTCCAGGCCACAGAAGTGCACCAGAGCTGCAGCGAAATGATGCCATCCTTCGAGACACGGAAAGCAGCCTTCCGTAACACCTGTGTGCACCATCGCCGTACGCGAAACACTTGGCACTTCTGACAATGCCCGAAAAACTTTGCAGCAAGCACAAAATTCGTGGCCGCCTGTCGAAACGGGGGTGTATCAACCGTAGCCCATGACGGCGTCCGAAAGGATGTTTCCACCTACGGATGCTTGCTAACGCCCAGCGCAGGCACTAAGTCCCTATTGGGCAACTCGTTAATCACACGTGATCGTCTCCGCAGAAGTAAACTGAAGGGCGCCTCCAAACTAGTTCACACTCCTTTGCAAACGACAACATGCCACGTGGACACCGAGCCAAAGATGAACTCAAACACGTGAGAAGTACACCTCACACACCACGCTAATGTTCCGAAATAGCTCCCAGTGCGCGCAGAAGTGTCACTGCCTGAGGGCAGTCTTTTGCGTCCTGAAAAATGCAGGTATTTTCACAAACAAGGTGCCGCTGGTGGCGGCACAGCGGCATTTCCTGCGCGGCATTTTCCTTACAGGAGACCCAACGTGTGCTTTCACCACACCAGCAACAACAGGTCACATACTTTCCGCGCAGTCATTGAAACCGGAACAGCATCATAATGACCAGTGATACGCAGTTGCTCCTGAGCAAACAAGCACGTCATCTCCAGGCACCAAAAACTAGCTGCATTCTGAGAGCAGCTGTTGTGGCACGGAGGTCACCGCAAATGAGCGCTTCATCGCGTCCTCCTCCCCAGCAAACGTCGATACATGGAGTGCAACAGTGTCCTGATCCACTCGCCAGGACTCTCAAATGTAATGCCAAACTAAATGATGTGCATGGACTCAGTCTCAGAAACAGAGAGGGTAGTTGCCTCCTGCAGTAGGCGAACGCTTGCCCCTGGGCGCGACGCGGTTATGGACGAGGTTTCATCATTGCAGTCGCCAGACAAAGAGTCACCCATAACTCAATTAGACTGCCAGCGGTGTCGCTCTCAATCTTCAGGTGCTTGTTATAGAGGGTTTGCGCTTCTCACCAACGCTGCATCTTCAAGAAGTGTAATGTTGCGGTAGGTGTCTGCAGGCAATACGCTTTTACCGTTTGCTGTCGCCAAATCTCTCAGAAACAGGGTCTTCGAAGCACACACCAGGAATTCCAAGAGCGACGCAACCCCACAGGCACACCGTTCGTTCTAGTGCTGCCCTTCATGCAGCAGCCACCACTCTCCATGACATTTCGCATCTCGTGCAGCCGACAGCTCCAGCCTCTTCTGAAAACTCAGACGCTAAACGACGCCCTACGTTTCTCACGTTGGTCCTCAAACATCGCCGCTAGATACCCCTAAGACATACTCTCTGCTCGCCACAATTAATGGCGAGGGCGGGACAAGAATCAATCCGGTTCAGATCATCACAAGAACCAGCGCGGGAATACTCGACATTTTCGATACAATGCAAGCTCTCGTTGATTTGCATGGAAGTAGCTCAGTTGTTCCAGGCCACAGAAGTGCACCAGAGCTGCAGCGAAATGATGCCATCCTTCGAGACACGGAAAGCAGCCTTCCGTAACACCTGTGTGCACCATCGCCGTACGCGAAACACTTGGCACTTCTGACAATGCCCGAAAAACTTTGCAGCAAGCACAAAATTCGTGGCCGCCTGTCGAAACGGGGGTGTATCAACCGTAGCCCATGACGGCGTCCGAAAGGATGTTTCCACCTACGGATGCTTGCTAACGCCCAGCGCAGGCACTAAGTCCCTATTGGGCAACTCGTTAATCACACGTGATCGTCTCCGCAGAAGTAAACTGAAGGGCGCCTCCAAACTAGTTCACACTCCTTTGCAAACGACAACATGCCACGTGGACACCGAGCCAAAGATGAACTCAAACACGTGAGAAGTACACCTCACACACCACGCTAATGTTCCGAAATAGCTCCCAGTGCGCGCAGAAGTGTCACTGCCTGAGGGCAGTCTTTTGCGTCCTGAAAAATGCAGGTATTTTCACAAACAAGGTGCCGCTGGTGGCGGCACAGCGGCATTTCCTGCGCGGCATTTTCCTTACAGGAGACCCAACGTGTGCTTTCACCACACCAGCAACAACAGGTCACATACTTTCCGCGCAGTCATTGAAACCGAAACAGCATCATAATGACCAGTGATATGCAGTTGCTCCTGAGCAAACAAGCACGTCATCTCCAGGCACCAAAAACTAGCTGCATTCTGAGAGCAGCTGTTGTGGCACGGAGGTCACCGCAAATGAGCGCTTCATCGCGTCCTCCTCCCCAGCAAACGTCGATACATGGAGTGCAACAGTGTCCTGATCCACTCGCCAGGACTCTCAAATGTAATGCCAAACTAAATGATGTGCATGGACTCAGTCTCAGAAACAGAGAGGGTAGTTGCCTCCTGCAGTAGGCGAACGCTTGCCCCTGGGCGCGACGCGGTTATGGACGAGGTTTCATCATTGCAGTCGCCAGACAAAGAGTCACCCATAACTCAATTAGACTGCCAGCGGTGTCGCTCTCAATCTTCAGGTGCTTGTTATAGAGGGTTTGCGCTTCTCACCAACGCTGCATCTTCGAGAAGTGTAATGTTGCGGTAGGTGTCTGCAGGCAATACGCTTTTACCGTTTGCTGTCGCCAAATCTCTCAGAAACAGGGTCTTCGAAGCACACACCAGGAATTCCAAGAGCGACGCAACCCCACAGGCACACCGTCCGTTCTAGTGCTGCCCTTCATGCAGCAGCCACCACTCTCCATGACATTTCGCATCTCGTGCAGCCGACAGCTCCAGCCTCTTCTGAAAACTCAGACGCTAAACGACGCCCTACGTTTCTCACGTTGGTCCTCAAACATCGCCGCTAGATACCCCTAAGACATACTCTCTGCTCGCCACAATTAATGGCGAGGGCGGGACAAGAATCAATCCGGTTCAGATCATCACAAGAACCAGCGCGGGAATACTCGACATTTTCGATACAATGCAAGCTCTCGTTGATTTGCATGGAAGTAGCTCAGTTGTTCCAGGCCACAGAAGTGCACCAGAGCTGCAGCGAAATGATGCCATCCTTCGAGACACGGAAAGCAGCCTTCCGTAACACCTGTGTGCACCATCGCCGTACGCGAAACACTTGGCACTTCTGACAATGCCCGAAGGATATTGTAAGAGGAGCAAGGCTCTAGTCCCGATTTAGAAAAAGGAATGCGTGCGGCGTGCGATAATGATATGGGGAAAATCCATAGCCTGTTCTCTGTGTCGGATGTACCGTTCCAACCGTTACGGTCAATTTACCATTAGGATGGGCCATCAAAAAAGTCATAGAAGCGTGAAGCGTATGAAGGGTGCTAGCTCCGCACAGCTCCTATCGACGAAAAAGGCCAGACTTTGAACACCTCTCAGAGCTCTGGGAGTTATCTGATATACTGAAGAGATCATCAACGGAAACGCTAGAAGCTGTATGATAGGAGAACTATCAACTATGAAACATGAAATAAGAACAACCTACCAACTATCCGACAAGATACGCGGCACCGTGATGTGTCTCAAGGGCATTGCAAAGTCATCATATTCAACGGCAGACTTGCTGCTGAACGTGCAGCCGTCCCAGTAGCCAGCTAAGGCAAATGCAGAGCATTGGATTCCGAGGAGAAGATGCGGCGTTTCAGACCTTGATGCCCTTCATATCGAGCTCGTTCGACGAAACATTCAAAATGCCTGCCCAAAGCGACGCTTCGGGATACAAGAAAGGGCCGTTAGTCATTGTCTTGAAGGCACCCTCTTGCGAACGCTGACAGGGAGAAAGGCGTGCAGACTTACCTCCTGTATTTTGGAAAGGCTCCTCCATCCTGAGTATTTCGCAATTCTCAGCTCGTGTGGTTACACCACTTTCAACGCCCACTTAAGGCTTGATGCGACAAAGTGATGGAACACTACCCTTCTCGGGTTCATTCAGGCTAGATAAATGCAGCAAGTTTCCTAACTGGCCAAGGGACAATGACCATGTCAAGATGCTTCTTAAGTTGGCGAAGTCCACAACATCCCTCCAAATTAGTGTCCCAATCTGAAGAGATGGAAGAAACGGGAGCGTAGAATCGCCCCTGTGTTTGTATTAGAACAGAACGCTCGTCACAACGCATCTCGTGTCTGCATCGTGACATTCAGTGATACACACCCAAAGTGCTGACTTCATTCATAGCACGAAGTGCAATTTTCGGTCCAGCATTCCTCGGTCTCATCATCTGGGTGCGTGGCATCGGAGGCTAAATTCCAATTTCTTCGCGATACTTGTTTTGGAGCCGATCGGATAATCAAAGCCTGTCCTGCCTATACCTGTACCCTACAGGAGCGACAACATATCGGAGACAAAAATTATTCGCCGAAGTGCGGGCATGGTACTGTGGGCTGGAAAGCCTAGGAACCGCACGGCAAGCAAACGCGAAGCTGTGGTTTTGACGTTTTGTGGCAACATGACTAGCTCGGGTACAAATAAAGATATAAATGCATGCAAACCGAGCGGTGCTCGCTGTCCAGTGCAACCGACTCTCCACTGCAAATCTATGGTTGACAACGCGGCTTGATGTTCGTTTCGAGATCCACTAATGCGCATTTCATGGTGAAGACTGGTAGACTGGTTAGGGGAAGTAACTTCACATTATTCTAGCTGTCAAACCGAGACAGCCACAGAAATGGGCCATCATGCAAATCCACAAACGCTTGCCGCATCTGAGAGAAGCCAGATGTGCACGCCTGCCGACGAGGAAAAGATTCAGATTTTACAGGTTCGTAGAGTTCTGGGAGTTATCTGATGTGGTGAACCCATCAGCAACGGAAACACTAGCAGCTGTATGGCGGGAAACGCATATTAAGTATGGAACATGAGATAAGAGCCATCAATTACAGACAGAAGACGCGGTACCCTGATGTGTCCCGAGGATCCAAAGTCATCGTTCCCAGTCGCAGAGGTATTGCAAAGCGTGCAGCCGTCTCAGTAGCCAGCTAAGGCAAATGCAGAGCATGGGATTTCGAGAAGAAGATGCAGCGTTTCAGACCTTGATGCACCATTCATATCGAGCTTGCTTTTAGACACACTCAAAATGCCTGCCCAAAGCAACGCTTTGGGATACAAGAAAACGCCTTTGATCATTGTCTTGAAGGCATCCTCTTGCAACCGCTGACAGGGTTAAAAGCGTGTAGACGTACCTTCTGTATTTTGGAAAGGGTCCTCCATCCTGAGTGTTTTGCGATTTTCAGCACGTATGGCTATACCTCTTTCAACGCCCACTTAAAACTTGATGCGACAAAGTGATGGAACACTACACTTCTGGGGTTAATTCAGGCTAGATAAATGCAGCAAGTTTCCTAACTGGCCAAGCCACAACGATCATGTCAAGATGCTTCTTAAGTTGGCGAAGTCCACAACATCCCTCCAAATTAGTGTCCCAATCTGAAGAGATGGAAGAAACGGGAGCGTAGAATCGCCCCTGTGTTTGTATTAGAACAGGATGCTCGTCACAACGCATTTCGTGTCTGCATGTTAAAAGCTTCTCAGAGTTGTTGGCGATGGTGTCATTCAGTGATATACACCAAAAGTGCTGACTTCATTCATAGCACAAAGTGCAATTTTTGGTCCAGCATTCCTCGGACTCATCATCTGGGTGCGTGGTATTGGGGGTTAAATTCTAATTTATTCGAGATAGATGTTTTGGAGCCGATCGGATACCGTACAGGAGCGACAACGTATCGAAGACAAAAATTATTCGCCGCAGCGCTGGCATGATGCACAAGTCTTCGCCGCAGTGCGGGCATGGTACTGTGGGCTGGAAAGCCTAGGAACCGCACGGCAAGCAAACGCGAAGCTGTGGTTTTGACGTTTTGTGGCAACATGACTAGTTCGGGTACAAATAAAGATATAAATGCATGCAAACCGAGCGGTGCTCGCTGTCCAGTGCAACCGACTCTCCACTGCAAATCTGTGGTTGACAACGCGGCTTGATGTTCGTTTCGAGATCCACTAATGCGCATTTCATGGTGAAGACTGGTAGACTGGTTAGGGAGGTAACTTCACATTATTCTAGCTGTCAAACCGAGACAACCACAGAAATGGGCCATCATGCAAATCCACAAAAGCTTGCCGCGTCTAAGAGAAGCCAGATGTGCATGCCTGACGACGAGGAAAAGATTCAGATTTTACAGGCTCGTAGAGTTCTGGGAGTGATCTGATGTGGTGAACCCATCAGCAACGGAAACACTAGCAGCTGTATGGCGGGAAACGCATATCAAGTATGGAACATGAGATAAGAGCCATCAATTACAGACAGAAGACGCGGTACCCTGATGTGTCCCGAGGACATTGCAAAGTCATCGTTCCCAGTCGCAGAGGTATTGCAAAGCGTGCAGCCGTCTCAGTAGCCAGCTAAGGCAAATGCAGAGCATGGGATTTCGAGAAGATGATGCAGCGTTTCAGACCTTGATGCACCATTCACATCGAGCTTGTTCGACGAAACATTCAAAATGCCTGCCCAAAGCGACGCTTCGGGATACACGTAAGCGCCATTGATCATTGACTTGAAAACATCCTCTTGCAAACGCTGACGGGAGGTAATGGCGTGCAGACGTACCCACTGTATATTGGAAAGGGTCCTCCATCCTGAGTGTTTTGCGATTTTCAGGACGTATGGCCATACCTCTTTTAACGCCCACTTAAGGCTTGATGCGACAAAGTGATGGAACACTACACTTCTGGGGTTCATTCAGGCTGGATAAATGCAACAAGTTACGTAACTGGCCAAGCCACAACGATCATGTCAAGATGCTTCTTAAGTTGGCGAAGTCCACAACATCCCTCCAAATTAGTGTCCCAATCTGAAGAGATGGAAGAAACGGGAGCGTATAATCGCCCCTGTCTTTGTATTAGAACAGAATGCTCGTCACAACGCATTTCGTGTCTGCACGTTAAAAGCTTCTCAGAGTTGTTGGCGATGGTGTCATTCAGTGATATACACCCAAAGTGCTGACTTCATTCATAGCACAAAGTGCAATTTTCGGTCCAGCATTCCTCGGTCTCATCATCTGGGTGCGTGGCATTGGACGCTAAATTCTAATTTCTTCGGATAATCAAAGCCTGTCCTGCCGATACCTGTACCCTACAGGAGCGACAACGTATCGAAGACAAAAATTATTCGCCGCAGCGTTGGCATGATGCACAAGTCTTCGCCGCAGTGCGGGCATGGTACTGTGGGCTGGAAAGCCTAGGAACCGCACGGCAAGCAAACGCAAAGCTGTGGTTTTGACGTTTTGTGGCAACATGACTAGCTCGAGTACAAATAAAGATATAAATGCATGCAAACCGAGCGGTGCATGCTGTCCAGTGCAACCGACTCTCCACTGCAAATCTGTGGTTGACAACGCGGCTTGATGTTCGTTTCGAGATCCACTAATGCGCATTTCATGGTGAAGACTGGTTGACTGGTTAGGGAAGTAACTTCACATTATTCTAGCTGTCAAACCGAGACAACCACAGAAATGGGCCATCATGCAAATCCACAAAAGCTTGCCGCGTCTGAGAGAAGCCAGATGTGCACGCCTGCCGATGAGGGAAAAAATCAGATTTTACAGGTTCGTAGAGTTCTGGGAGTTATCTGATGTGGTGAAGCCATCAGCAACGGAAACACTAGCAGCTGTATGGCGGGAAACGCATATCAAGTATGGAACATGAGATAAGAGCCATCAATCATCAGACAGAAGACGCGGTACCCTGATGTGTCCCGAGGACATTGCAAAGTCATCGTTCCCAGTCGCAGAGGTATTGCAAAGCGTGCAGCCGTCTCAGTAGCCAGCTAAGGCAAATGCAGAGCATGGGATTTCGAGAAGAAGATGCAGCGTTTCAGACCTTGATGCACCATTCATATCGAGCTTGTTCGACGAAACATTCAAAATGCCTGCCCAAAGCGACGCTTCGGGATACACGTAAGCGCCTTTAGTCATTGTCTTGAAGGCATCCTCTTGCAAACGCTAACGGGAGGAAATGGCGTGCAGACGTACCCACTGTATATTGGAAAGGGTCCTCCATCCTGAGTGTTTTGCGATTTTCAGGACGTATGGCCATACCTCTTTTAACGCCCACTTAAGGCTTGATGCAACAAAGTGATGGAACACTACCCTTCTGGGTTTCATTCAGGCTGGATAAATGCAGCACGTTTTCTAACTGGCCAAGGCACAATGATCATGCCAAGATACTTTTCAATTTGGCCCCACTCTGGAGAGATGAAAACAGTGGGAGCATATGATCTCCCCTGTGTTTGCAGTGAGCCGGAAAGCTTGTCACAACGTTCACCGCGTGGGCATATCTAAAGCGTTTTTCACTTATGTGTAAGGCTTTGCATACTTGCTGTTTTTTATGCGATTTAGTGATAAGACCTTTCGTAGTGACTTCATTCATAGTGCGTTGTGGTTCATTTTGCCTAGCAGTGTTTGGCCTCACTTGCTGGTGGTGTATTATTGAATGTTAAACCCCAACAACATGGGAATAAGACGAACTAAATGTTGTTGTGTTTTCTTGCTACTCGCTATGCTACAGTAACATAAATCAGGCAACATGAAGCAAAATGTGTTCGGAGTGGGGAGGCGTAGCCTGCATCACGGCTTCGATTTCGCAGTGACTAGTGTCAGTGCGAAATCGAAGCCGTGATGCTAATGTCTGCCGCGTTAGGATGAGCAGAAGTGCTCAATTAAGTGAAATTGCTGTACCAACGCGTAGGCAAATGCCTTCGGCACCGAAAGAAACTTTCTATGTTGAGAGACACACTAACTAATGAATACCTCAGGATATCTCATTAAATGTTTGCGCCATGAGCGCACAAATCTGCGATATCCAACGAACACGTCAGCATGAAGTACAG